TATCGGAAGTATTGTTTGATTTTGGAGACCATTCATGTGGATGCCCTACAAAGGTCCTGAACGGGAGACATTGTGATACCGTATTACGTGATGTATTATGTGAAGTCTGTAATGCAACATGGGAACTGTGTAGCAGTTTTCTTTAAGAAGAATGAGGGCCAAAATAGTTTGTTTCATTTTTTCCTTCCCACTGCAGTCAGGAGGAAAAATCCGTAGGCCTCAGCCTTACAGAACAGGGCGTGGATCTAGCGGCGAAATGAAAGAGAGGTAGCCGAGTGTTTGAATGAGTTGAAAGTGGGCAGTTGTCTTTGGAAGCCGCGTACGCCGCAGATTAAAAATATGCCTAAAAGTGTACAATTAAAAAGTGTACTGTCACATTTGGGGCACTTGTGTGAAAGCACGAGGACTCTAGGGTCTGGCTGCATCAAAAAGCAAAACTTAACCCTGTGAAAGTCAGGTGATTTCGAATTTTTCCATTCAGAGTATGAATCAGAATGAATGCGTCTTGGGTTTAAATTGGGATTTGAAAGGGTTATTTGGAAAACGATGTTTGTTTAAACCAAGTGACTAGAGTGTTTGATATATATTGGCAGGGGGCAGATGGGAGGGATTGTAAACAGTAGCGTGTCTTGTGACTTGGCAAAGGAAGGACCTAGTGATGAATGAGTTCGCATTATGTGAAAAGACTAACATTTAAAAACATGATTTGTTTTTTTTTACCACATTAGCTGGCATAATAGGTTCATAATTCTGAGAGGAATGTATATTTAGGGGGAATTTTCAGAAAAAATTGTCAAGAAAGATTTTTAAATTATTGTTTTGTTAGGAAGTGACAGTTTTACTTATTAGGATAGAACAACAAGCAGTGATGTACTTCTTATTCCTCTCCTATTTTTCCAAAAAGATGAGAAATACTTAAAAGATTGGTTTGGGTCATTGAGGGAGCACATAGTAATGTGCTAGATATTAGCAGGGACTTGTCAATTTGATACAAGGAAATATGTGAATTTTTTTGGTAACATGAACTTTTCAAATTGTTTCTTTTCAGAAATCTTTTTCAGGATAGGTGCAACACATGAAAGACGGCATTTCAATATATAGTGAATTCTAACAGGTGTTATTAAAGGACAGTTGGACTCCTTGATTGTATGAATTGCCACCTTTGGAAGTGTAAAGAGGAATTAACATTAGTCAAAAGTTACATTAGTAGTAAAAAGCAGATGTTAATGTTTTTTGAAATTCATGGATTGGAGCAATAAATTGTGGCATTAGGTAGTATCTTATAGTGGAAAATTTAAAATGTGGACAAAATTACATCTCTAAAACCAGATTTATAATTGGTATTGGGTCAGTTTCCTAATAGTTGGAATCACATTACACAAAGTATGCAAGTTGCTTGGTTGCTTTAGTTACAGAATTTTATGATAAGCCCAGAGTATTTGTACAGGTTACATATTAGAAACTTAGTGGATTTTTAACCTGGCCTGGGGTGTGGACTCTTGGGGAAGGTGAAGAAATTGTCAATGTGGATAATTTAAAAAGTAGTTGTCTTGTACACAAGTGAGTGTGGTCTAATTCAGCAGGTTTTGAAAAGGTGTTTATCATGGGCCTAGAGCAGCTATTTTCAACCTGGGCCACAAGAATTTTGAAAACATGCAATACCTGACTATTTAGTTGTGGCACTGACCTCTTTTTCCAGAGACTGTCAAATAAAAATGACAACAACCACCACAACAATAGTTGTCCAATTGAATGAATCAAAAGTATTCTCTTTTTTTGGTCAGATTATAAAAAAAAATTTTTTTTTTGGTGTGCCGCAGAATTTTAGTAATTAGTTTATGTGTGCCACGAGATGAAAAAGATTGAAAATCACTGACCTGGAGAAATGGAACATTCCCTTTCTAGTCCCTTTAGGATATTTGAAAGCAATGGGTTTTTGTAACTATTTCAAATTCTGATTTTCTTGCTTTGTGGGATAATTAAGAAATAGGTTACAAGTTTATGTGAGTGGCTACAATTCTTTGTTATAATTGTATTTATGCAATGATTGTTTTTTTTTCTTTCTTTTTTTTAAAAAAGATGTTGCAGTTACTTCCTTTTTTAAAAAAATGTATTTTATTGATTTTTTACAGAGAGGAAGGGAGAGAGATAGAGAGCCAGAAACATCCATGAGAGAGAAACATCGACCAGCTGCCTCCTGCACATCTCCCACTGGGGATGTGCCCGCAACCCAGGCACATGCCCCTGACCGGAATCGAACCTGGGACCCTTCAGTCTGCAGGCCGACGCTCTATCCACTGAGCCAAACCAGTCTCGGCTGTTTTTTTTTTTCTTATGGAAATGTTTTACCTGTGCCAGGGAAATTACCATCATCCTTCAAGGCCAGAAGTCAGGATACACTAGACAATCCCTGGCCTGTGCCAACAAAATATTCATGTTTGTGATGACTAAATTGGCACTTACAGGAGAGTTACAGA